ATGTGAGCCTGACACTGCCCATTCATGATTCTTTTGTCTTACTTTTAAAAAAACACCCAGGGAGAACTCAAAGCTGTTTACCAACTGCCTGCCTGAAGGGGACATTTTGGTACCATTGTGACAATAGCCCTCTGCAAGACAAACAGGACAGAATGCATCTCTTAAAAAGGTACAGTATTGTCACGCACTGGAGAAACTCAGCAGGTCTGGCTGCATCTGTAGAGAGAGAAACAGAGTTAACATTTCAAGTCCAATATGAATCTTCTTCAGTTTTGAAATTACATTTTTCTTCTGGATCCTAATTTGAAAACTTAAAGTTCTCTGAAAGAAGCCTGTTTTTTTCTGATCACATCACGTGTAGGAGTAAATTCTGCACATCTGAACAGAAGTTGTATAGATCTTGTGAAGTTGGACCCCAGCCACTTCTTGCCAACCCTATTTTCAAACACAATTGCCAGCAACCTAAATAAAAGCCTGATTTTTTTTGCCATTTTCAGCTAATTTTCATCCTCTGTGCAATCATGTCCTAATTCTTAGCACTTGAATTAACACGGTCACCAAACAATACCAATCATGGATTCACACATGACCTAACCCACTTCACAATAAAGATGCCATGTATTAATCTGTTACTTACAAAAGTTAAGCATCTCATGACACCTTGATTACATGGCTATACTATTATCAGTGCATCATGTGGACATCTTTTACATTGCAGACATGCAAGGTCTTTAAATTCCTAATGATTCTGGAAAGAAGTTGTGCCCTTTGAAGTCTCATCACATACCACTTAAGCTGCCCAGTTTAAATCCTGATGGAAATGTAGCTTTTTGTATGCTTTTGTCATCATAGCTGAACAATAATTTGCTCACTAACATTCAGTTTGCTTTCTGCCAGGGTCACTCAGCTCCTGATCTCATTACATTGATTCCAACAAGACAAATTCTAGGCATGGAGGTGAGAGAGTGACTGCTCTGGACATCGAGGCTGCACTTGACTGAGTGTGTTATCAAGGAGCCCAAGCAAAACTAAACTATATGGGGGGGGGGGGGGGGGGGG